AAAGAAGTAAAACTGTAGCATTGGGAGGAGAGGAAGGAAGCCGGTGATGCTGAGTTTTCATAAATTGGGGGGAGAAACTGATCTCTCTCTCTCTCTCTCTCTCTGTGTGTGTGTGTGTGTGTGTGTGTGTGTGTGTGTGTTTTTTAAAAATCTCAGGTTTACTAACCCAGGTACACATCTATACAAATCAAGGAAGTCCCACTTGAGAACAGTACTCCCAGGTTTCTGGTCCACACAAAACATCCAAACAATGACTATTTTGGTTGCAAGTCAAATAAGTATCTAAAGTTTATGTCTTTAAATAAAGTCATGAAATAAACATCAAGGAATAAGCCCACCTCAACCCCATTCGAATTCCTGAGCTCAGGGAGAGGACTCCTTAGGGATCTTTGCATTTTCCTCTTCCTTCTCAGCCCCCAAACCAGCAAAACAGGAATGAACAAGAATAACATCTTCTAATCTCCCCCAAGTCCTGAGGATTTGCGTTATTTAAATATATGAGAAGCACCTATAATTGAGTAACTATTCTAGCATTTAAAGAATGCCAAACAATGAACCATTTCTTCTTCAGACCAAATCTAGCCCATTTGTTTTCGCTAGCACAATGTGTAGAATTGCTCAATGTGTTACTTCCTAGAACACTATATTGTTTATACAAGGTAGGTAAGACTTCTCTAGCAATACTTTATTTATTTTTCTCACTCTAGCACTTGATGATTGCAGCTGTCATGGATTTCCCTTTTCTCTAGATTCTCAAGTATTGCAAATGTGCAGATCCAATTTTGTACTTTACATTTGATAAAAAAGGTTATCCTTTGGGGAGAAGGGTGTAGAGAGAAGGCAGAATTTAACAGTAAAAAGCTTTAATCTCTGTCCTTGCTTGTTTGATTTACTCTGAACAATCATTTTAAAGACAGAATTCTGCAAGTTCTGTATCAGTATATTTTAACAACTTCAGAAAGGGGATTTTTCAGAGGGTCTGGGTGGAGGAGAACAAAAGTATTTGCATGTCCTTTCCCCAGAACCTAAGTGGATTTTTCCTGAGCTGTTTTCCCTCTAAAATCTTGGTGGGAGGATCAGTCACTACAGAGCTCAGACTTTTGTTGTTGGCATGACTGTTGGTATTACTGTGGAGGAAAGAAAGAATGCACAATTGTGCATTCAGTTAAGACTAAAGACTCCTTTACCCTGCAGTGTTGTGTGTGTGCATGTGGTTTTTAGTCCAACATGGAAAGCCCCACTTGACTGTAAGAAAGACAAGCCTTATTCTCCCTAACAGTTAATGCACGCGCACGCATGTGACTTCCCAATTTATGGCAAAACTGGAAGATGAGAGTTTCTTCATCCCTTCACTGACTTCTTTTCTTTCTCAACTCTATTCATAGGTTTTTAGGGACAATTATCAGATAACTTGCACAAACATTACAAATCCATAGGGACTAGTTGGGGTAATAAAGGTCTTGATCACCACAAATTCTGCCCTCTCCTCTCTGATTCAGTTTCTTTTAGGAAGATAAAGGCAAGAACCTCACTTATCTCAGGCAGAGTGGTCCAGAGGTGGTGATGGGAGCTTGCAGATTAAGCTTTTTCAGGGAGGGTCTCCAATGTCATCATTGGCATACCTTGTCACATTCCTTTCTTACCTATTAATAGGAAGATCAAATGAAGAATACCTATAAATGCTATGATGATGAATTCAGTTCATGTTTACTAAGTGCTTAGACAAGAGCATGCACAGAGGAGACTATCTTAGGTTAGGCTCCCTAGAAGTGGCTGAGATGAGGTTCTCATGTAAGTGACTGGGAGCATGTTTCCACATGTATGAGGGGCAGAATAGGGCAAGGGAGGAGTTGGTAAAGCTATAGTTTTGGAGGAGTCTAGCTTCAGCCCAACTGCCTGAGGAGCTTTGGGTATGAAAGGCACTAGAGTTTGTTACACCAAGGCAAGATGGTCTGGCTGTTATGCTGCACAGTCAGCCCCTGGGGGGTAGGTGGGTGTAAGCTCTCTGACATCTCTTGCCAATGGAGGGTTTTCTTCATTAATCTCTGGAGAAAAGTCAGCCAAGGCCACCTGTGACAGGCGCTGCAGCATCTGCTACACAAATCAATAAGGATTTGATGACAGCACCACGGAGCTCAGAACTTAGGAATCTTAAGACCTCAGTTTCCCCATCCAGGCTACCCTTCCTTCAGTCTCACAAAGCCTCCTGAGTCCTGAACTTGAGGCTGGCACCCTGGCTTCATTTGCAGACAAGCCACCATTATAATAGTCTATTTCTTTGTTCAGCACAGACTCTATGCTGTTCTGTGCAGCATCCCAACCCCCAGCACAATGTCCATGCATGGTAGGCCCGCAGCCTGTCTTTTCAGCTAGTCAAAACTGGTAGAGAAGGTTCCTCACCCCAGTGAAGGCCAGTCAGCATTGGCCTCCTTGAGCTCCTGATTGGTGCAACTCCTCCCACCCCTTACACTTTATCTAGTGTTGTTTTCTTCTTGCCTTGTCTTCTGTGTATCCAGTGTGTGGAGTACCTGTTCTCCTTTTCTTTCTATCTCTTTCTGTAGAGGTTTCTTTCACTCTAGTATGCTCCAGCTCCACTCACATCAGTTTTACATGATAAGATTTGTATCTGGATTTGTGAGATTCTGAATGACCATGTGCCCAGAAGGGTGGAAATTCAGCTACAGAATGGCCATTTTTGGTGGTAACATGACTGCATGGTGGGCAGAAAGGGAGGGGAAAGAAGACAGTAGCAGCCCCATTGGTGATGAATCATACCAATTAGAAGGAAAAATGTCAGAATAGGGACGCTCAGAATTTGGGGAATTATCTGGCACATCACAAAGTACAGTTGTCTTTCAGTGTCTGATAGGGATTGATACCAGTCCTCCTCACCATACCAAAATCCTTGGATGCTCAAATCCCTTATATAAAATGGTTTAGTATTTGCCTATAATCTACACAATCCTTCCATACACTTGAAGTCATCTCTGTTACTTGTAATACTTATTATGATGTAAATGCTATGTAAATAGTTGTTATACTGTATTGTTTAGGGAATCATCGCATGGAAAAAACCTGCACATGTTCAGTGCAGATGCAACCATCATAGGCCTAACTACATAGTACACATCAGCAACAACATGACGTCATGTTGTCCTTGGTTGATCAAACCTGGAACTCAGAACTCCTGAGTAGGAAGGGCCAACTGCATTTGCTTTTGTAAGCCTTCTCCCCTTTCCCTTGGACACCTAAAAACTGTTCATGTTTCACTAAAAGGACCCAAGTGTTGGAATTTCTACCATAGAACATTTGGGTTGGAGTACATAGATACTCGGGGAGCAAGGAAGTTTCTGTGTTGTGGAGGTGGGAGGAGGGAAGAAAGACCTTCCTTAGAGACATTCCTGTATCTTCACATTCTTCTTTTTAAAAAGAACTCTTCCTTTTATAAATTAATACTATTTTACAAAAAAATAAAAAGGAAGGTAAGTAATCTTTTGAAAATCTCACCCAAGGAATACAAGCAACTGTGAGTTTTCGGGGGGCATTTTCCTAGTCTCTTTCCCTGCATATCTGAATTTGGATCACTGTTAGACTTTTTACTAGATATTTTTGTATCGATAAAGTGATTAAAAACCTCTCTAATACTTTCTTGCATTTCCTGGCATACTATCTTATGGCCTGCTCTGGCTGTGGAGCACTAAGTAGTTGGGGAGTTGGGAGCAAGACACACAGCTCCAACTCTGGGCCTTCTTTTCTCCACTATGAGATGTGAGGTGAACAGAAGTTACCATCTAGGGTTCATTAGGAATTGACCCAGCTTCCTCCCCAGCAGTGGCCTACTTAGATCTCTGCTCAAACTATCAGATCCCACAAACTGGATTAAGAGCTCAGAAAGGGTTATGAGGTCTCTGTCTAGAGTGGAGACCCTGGGCAAACCCTCTCGTGTTCTTCTGGGAGGGCTGCGAACTGGCCACCTGCTCGGCTGCAGGCTTCCAGTTGTGTCCTCCCTACCTCACCCAAGAGGACCACTGCGGGTTCCTCCTCCAGCTCCCTAGTTCCTTCTGCCTCTCCTTAGCGTCTTCACCCATTTTTAAGGGACCAGCTTGGGTATTTCGGAGAGCCGAGGCGTAACCCCTAACCCCTAAGGTGCGCATAGAGGGGAGGACCCCAGATGTCCAAGGCCTAGGAACTGGGGAAAAGAGGTGCCCTGCCTTTTCTCTGGAGAACTGTTGGGGCCCTAGGAGTCAGCCACAAGCTGGCAGCGCTTGTAGCCCGGGTGGAGCGTCGTGCTCCCGGCCCTCTTTTCTCTCCGCGGTGGCCCCGGGGGCGGATTGACGTGGCGGCGCCCATCCTGGCCCCGTGCGGTTTCCCAGGGCTGGAGGAGGTGGTGCAGTGGGAGCGAAGTGGGAGGAGCGCGCCAAGCAGGAGAACTAAGGCAGAGGAGGGGCAGCCGGAGGGGGTGGGGTGGGGGTGGGGCTAGTAGCTGAGAACTGAGGAGGAGTCCTTGAGGGAGACTGGAGGAGGAGCTGCGAGCGAGCCGGAGCCGCGAGGGAGAAGGAACGTAAGGGGAAAGCTCAAGGCAGAGGCCAGAGGAGGAGCCTTCGAGAGATTGAAGGAGGGGCAGGGAGCAGGGGAGGAGCATCTGCGAAGGGGGTGGAGCCTGTGGCGCCCCGCCCCTCTGACCGGCTGCACCGAGGAACGAAGATGGCCGGACGGGCCGCAGGAGCAGAGGGGCCGCCGACAGCGGTGGCTGCAGCTCCAGCTCTGGGACTGTGACTTCGCGCGAGGCAGCGACCCGGGCAACCGGGGCGGAGCGGGCGGCGCAGGCAGCGGCGCACGAGGCTGGTTGGGCGCCGGTGCGCGGGCGCCCGGCGGAGGATGCGCCGGGTGCGGCGGGCGGCTCCCCGCGGCCGCCCCCGCGACCCGGGCGCGGGGCAGTAGTGCTGGCGGAGGAAGCGGCACGCGCGGGGCGGCCGGGCGGCGGCGGGGCCAGGGCCGTCATGCCGTGGCTAAGTGGCGGCCGGCGGCGACGGCGAGGACAGTCGCGGGAGGCCCCGCGGGAGCCGCCGGCGTCCACGCAGTCCCAGCGTGAGCCGCCGCCGTCGGCACCCCCGGCCGCAGTCCCCGCACCTACGGTGCCCACCGCGCCGCAGCCGACGCGTGCCCGAGAGAGCGCCGAGCTGCCACTGCCCGCCGGCTGGGAGGAGGCTCGCGACTACGACGGTCGTGTCTTCTACATCGACCACAACACGCGCCAGACGTCGTGGATCGACCCTCGCGACCGGTAAGGGGGGCACGGGACCTTAGCCTGGGGGGCCACTGGCCGGTGCTGCCGGGGGGATGCACTGGCAACATGCCTAGCTCAGTGCAGGGCCACCGAGAGCCCGCTGGCGGGAGCAAAGAGCAGGGTACCCCTGTCTCGTGGCTACAAGGCCAGCATGGGTGCTATGATGTGGGTGCCTTCACTCTCAGGGCTGATAATGGACCGGAGCCCTGCAGTCCAGCTATGATCACGGCGTTACAATCCCTTAGGCCCAGGGAGAAGACCGAAAACGCCAGGAGGCCTTTGGGTTTGGGCGAAGTTTGTACGTCCCAGGGTTGGGGCGAATATCCATCTCCCCAGTACCCCTATCCCAGGGCTCTGGACGAGGATGTAGGTGTCCGCTTTCAGGGCCTTGAGTCTCTGGAGCGCAGAGTCCCGGTCTCCTCCCCGCCGGCCCCGTGTCGCGGAGCGGACACTGATTCGGTTCCCTCACGTCACCCGCTGTCCGGGGCCTGGGAGTTGGGCCCCTGGAATTTCCTCTCCCGGGGCTGACGGATGGCCCTCTTTTCCTTTTTCTGTGGTAGCCTCGCCCATCCCTTTCCCGGGCCTCTTCGGCCCATCGCACGGGCTCAGGCAAGATGAGCTGTCACCTTGTATCACAAACGTGCGCCCCAGCTTCGGGGTGTGGGTTCCTTGCCTGGCGGGCTCAGCCTGGTTTCCATCCAAAGCCTGATGCCAGACGGGCACTTCAGGGATTCCCAATCCTTTTGGAGTTGGGAGAAATTGTTCCCTAACTGTTGGTTTCTCTAGCGCCTTAAAAATCAAGTGAGTTAACTTCTGTTTGAAATAGCCTTGTGTACTGCAGCCCGAATGGAATATGATTAGTCCCATATGCTTTTGGAATAAGTGAAAAACATGAGTTTAAGTTTCCTTTTTGTGCAAGATATGCATAGGGCACAAAATTGTCTTATTATTCATGTAAATAAATCTGATCAAGTAAAAACAGATTCTTCTAAAAGCACTACCAGATTTTATTTAATTAATTTCATGTAATGAAGAGTTTCCTTGACTTTTGTTTGATTCCAATGGTTCATATGCTTTTGGAGAGATGTATTTTTTGTGGTTGAAACCAAGTGTTTCCACTGGTTATCTGATATCTTGTCCTCTCTAGAGCAACTTCTCTCCACCCTGGCGTGAGTGCCAAAAAGGAAATACTGCAGGCTTCCTAGTGATTTCAAGACTGAAAAGGCCCAGTGTGGTGACATTGTGCCTGCTTCCTCCCACCTACACAGGAAAGGCAGCCTGCATGGCACTGGCGTTTGAAAATAAACTTGTAAGGAGGGAAGCTGCTGACTTGTTTGAAGATTTCTCTGGGTTCAGATGGAGAACAACAAAACAAAAGGATGGAGGTTCCCCAATATTCTCTCTGAACACTGCAGACTTCTAGACTCAGAAACTTACATAAATCCTGGCACAATTTTATGGGTTAAAAGGATGCTTGATTATTTTGAAAATCAGGTGACATCATATTATAATTTCAACCAAATGTTAGAACCACATCTGTTTGATCAAACCTTAGATGGTTCAGGAATTGGTAGAACTGCTTGGAATGTGGTGCCCTTTTGTACTTATGTCTGTTAAAAGCCCAAACAACTGGAAAATGAACCAGTTAAAAATAGTGTTTTGCTTAGAAAAGGCTAAGGCTCATTTTATGAGGGTAATATAAAACAGTTGTGGTTGTACTGGAATTGGGACTCATGATGAAAGATATAAATGTAAGAATTTTTGTTTCAGTGATGTAACCTGTAACATAGGTATGCAGACCAGCTTGTAGGATCTTTGTTTCTATATATTTCATACACATCTCCTATGTTCCTTTTTTTCAGAAGTCTGTTTGTTACTGAATAACATTTTTTACCCTTTTCAGACATCACTTATTTTGTAGGTTCTTTAAAAGTCCTGTTTCTAATGCTAAGTGTTGATTGAGTGAACTAAAGTGGATATTCTACTTTTTTTTTTTTTTTTTGGTAAAGTAAAAACATACGTATACTTTTATGAGACATTGTTTTTATAGTGAGTGAAAATTCAGCCGGGACAGCTTGAACTTCAGCTCCCATAATACCTTGCCCGAAATATGTATGGAATGTTCAGCAAGCCACAAACATCTCCGTAGAGTGTGCTGAAGGGTGTAATAGTCATTCTTCTTCCTCTTTCAAAACACAACGTTGTCGATTTTTATAGGTGACTGGTAATCCTTTAAAGTTGTAATTAACTTTTATTATATGGATGGGACTGTATGTCAGAATGCAATGTTTTCTCCATGTGCATCTGACAGTTAAAACCCTTTTTGTGTTGTGTTTACTTCACATGCCTGGAAAATGGTGTTCAAGAAATGAGAACTTTTACCAGTTTCCAAATGGAAAGTTGAAAGGAGAGCGACAAATAAATAAAAGGTTTCTAAAGAAAATGAAATTATGGAGAAATAAATGAATGCAGTAAGTTAGGTGAAAATTGTTGACTTTAAACATTTATTTCATATATAATTTAGTAAAACCTATAATAGCATGAAATATGCTGCTGTTAGCAAAACTAAGGGCCAAGAGATGTAAATGCAATTCCTTCTAGAGTATTATAGTAATTTCATTCAGTGTTCTGTTTAACAACATTTGATGTTGCCACCTTGGAATATTGGTGAATTATCATAGCTCTATTTTTTTAAATTACAACAAAGAGAATGCAAGCCTAAGGAAACATCTTTTCAGATGTGACTACAAGTGTATCAAAGTCTCAGTATTTTATAAACAGATTTTTTTATTTTATTATTAATCTTAGGTTTAAATTTATTATTTTATAGACCAATATTATGAATATAATTTTTATAGTGAGTTTACTGCGAATTGTCTCCAAAATTTTTGTTACAAAGTTAATTCACTATTTCTATGGCTGGCATTTTCTTTGCATAAGTCTTAGGTGGTTTACATTAGTGACACACATATATTTGGCATATGTTAACTCAGTACAATGATCACCTTATTAAAAGGTATTTACCATCTGGCAGAAAATATGGGAAGAAAAGTTTTGTACCTTTGTAAAAATTCAGTCCCTTTAATAGTTGTGTGTATATATATGCTTCCTGCAGGTTTCTTTTGATATTATTCTGTAGAAGGACCTGAGTTGTTGAGACTGAATGTTTTGCTTCCTGTAGCTCAGCTGGAGTTGTACAATACTGGAAATGCCAGCTCTGGGCATCTTAAGAATGGTAGGAGAAGTCACATTTGAGATCAAAGCAGAGTGTAAATAATTAAGATGTGGTGGAAGACCAAAATTATATCATGGCATGAGCTTTTTTTGGGGAACCATTTGTTCATTGCACAGGATTTGGCCTGTATCTCATGGAAGCATTTTGTGATATATTAAAAGTCCTCTGAACAGGCTTTTGCTTTAAAAAAAAAACAGGAAAAAGAACACACAAAATTTATTATATGCCTAAGGTACGAGAGTATTCATCTTCAGTCTTTTGCTCTAAGGAGAAAAACAGTACAAGGCTCCAGAATTTGCCAGGCTGGAGCCCCATATAACAGAGCCAGATAACATTGTTAGTTCTTGAAATCTTTATTTAGAATTAATTAATAGGAACTTGTCTATATTTACCCCTATAAATCCTATAAATGGATTTTTCTCTGCTGGGATCCCTTGGCTCTGTGCATCTTATTTATTTATTTGTTTATCTATTGTGTTTCTGGGGATTGAACCCAGGGCTGTGTGCATGCTATAAAAGTGCTCTACCATTGCGCTACACCCCAGCCTCTGGCTTTCTGAATATGGTGGATACCTGTTGAGTGCTAATTGTGTGCTAAACACTTTAGGCATTTGCATGGATGTTTTCATCAAAAACCCATAATGGCTATGTGAGGTATAGGTGGATACATGATGAAACTTAACTTTGTGATCTCATTCCCATGCTAATGAGGGGCAACATCTGTATACCTCCAGAGTTGAGCCCTGGAGTCAATATGTACTTTACCCTCCCCTAGTTAGGTAACTGTGTGCCCCTTGCATCGTGCTAGACACACTGGTTATTTTTATCTTTTTTGCTGATTGATATTTAATCCCCCCTGTGGTATGATGACTCCTTAAAGATGTCAATGTCTTAATCTCCAAAAGCTGTTAATAAATTACCTTCCATGGCAAAACAGCCTTTGCAAATGTGATTAAGTTAAGGATACTGAGTTATGGAGATAATCTGAATTATATGTGCAGGTTCAGTGCCAATATCATCACAGGGGGTCTTGGTGGAGGGAAGAAGGAGGGTGAGGGTCAGAGTCAGAGATTGAGAGGTGACAATAGAAGCAGAGGTTGGAGTCACATGGTCATGAGTCAAGGAATGCAGGCATCCTCTAAACGCTGGAAAAGGCAAATGAATTAATTCTCCCCTTTAGTCTGCAGATGCGAGGTAGCCCTGCTGATACTTTGACTTTAGCCAAGTGAAACTGATATTGGATTTCTGATCTCCAGAACTGTAATATAATAAATTTGTGTTGTTTGAAACCCCTTGGTTTGTGGCAGTTTGTCACAGCATCCTTCCTAGAAAGAATGAAAGCATCTGGTCAGCTTAGTGTCTTTGATAATAGCCTCAAGAGCTGACATTTATCACATGCCTATGAAAGTACTGTGCTAAGTATTTTAAAGCCATTTCTCCTCCTGGTTCCTCACACTCTCCTTAGTAGGTCCTTGTTTCTAGTATGGAGTTTCATGTTGTGGACTCACATCAATTATATTGCACCAAGTCATACCTGATGAACTAGTTAAGTATGGCATGGTGGGTAGGCTGGATTTCAAAGAATAGAGGTAGGTTGGAGACAATTGAAGGTTTTCTCAGATAGTAATGGGAATGAACCAGAGGGATCAGGAGCTAGGGCTAGAAAAGACAGGGAAGTGCAGAAGATTTAGGTAGTACTTGAACTAATTCCATTGAAATCAGGAGGGATGTTAAGAATCTTGCTACCACCTTAGGAGGAACT